GTGAGGGGGCCTGTCTCACCTCCGGGGGCAAGATGTTCCAGAGGGCGGGGGCCACAGCAGAGAAGGCCCGCCTTCTGGATCCCGCTAAACGAAGTTCTTTTACCGCGGGGATCCGAAGCATGCCCTCTCTGTGAGGGCCCAAATTGGCAAACTACATTACAGTTTAAGCTAAGCAGATTGCAAAATGTTAGCATCATTTTTGATGTAACAATGGACTTTAACAGGACTACAACATTATTGGCTGTTAAGAAAAAGAAGCAGGTGGAAAACCAAATAGTAGACTTAGTAATACTCAAAAATCTGAGCTTGACTACCATGGATAAGATAAAATGTTTTTAAAACTTTTTTGCCCCTCTTCCTGGGTTGCTTGTGATCCTCCCAGAGATTGCAACACCAGTTTGAAGTCACTTGATGTAAACTAAAGAATAGTTAAATGCTTTGTTCTAGCTCTAGCCGCTGATACTTTGCCAGGCATAAAACCAGTGGGTCTGCTGGAATGGCTTCTGGAGTGGGACAGTGTTGTAGAAAGGAAAAGCTCAAAATTACTCATTATGTGCTTTTGAAATAACTAAAAAAGACTCAAATTGGTGTGTTGTGTAATATCCCACACTGAATGCTCATATGGTTGTTTGGTATTTCCTTTAAGGAAGTGCTTAATCAGCATCTGGGAATTGACAATTACTGTGATTGGAGATCATATTTCACCTGAAAACTCCAGCCTTCAGAATTTTAAACTATTAGCAACTTATTTCAAAATAGATCTTCTGTCTGTGGTATTTTGATACATGAAATACATAATTTCCTTCATAATGAAGGAAAGAAAAGTATGTCTGATACAGTCACTTCCTCGTGAGACGGGTAGTGTCTAAATTTGAAATATAAGTAAATAAAAAATAAAATATTACTTCTGCTTCTTTAGAATCGTCTCCCCTATCAGCAAACTACATTTTCGTGTGTGGAGTCACCAGACATTGAAGTCAGATATCTTACTTGGAAGTGCTGCTCTAGATATTCAGGAGACACTAAAAGCAAATAATATGAAACGTAAGTATGTAGTAACAAATTTCTGAAAGTTATATGCTTTTCCATATATGGAGTCCTCTTTTAAAAAAATATTGAATCAGCAGCATAGCTATATTTGATAAAGGCATGCAAATACTTTCAAAGTTAAAACAGTTGAATTCAAAATAATCTTTTTTCAGTTAAAAACAACTGTTTCAAGTTCAGAATGGTTATCTGTACATTCTGGAAGTGTTTTTTGAACTTGAAGCAATTATATTTTGAGCTCTAAACTGGATTTAAAGCAGGGCCATTTCAAGCTCAAAACATTTCCAAAATGGTTGTAACTGCCTGTTTTGAACTCTGGAATGGATTATTCTATCTGTATTGTATTTCATAACAAAAGCTTGATAAAAGCGGTAAGCTCTTTCCCTCTCACTCCTCCTCAAAACCTTTTTGATTACAACTTTTCTTTGGGAAACTTAACATTGCTTCTAATGTAAAAGAGCTTCTATGTAGACATAGGACAATAATACATATGACATTAAATACATCATGTGTTTTTAAGTGAATCTTTTTTAAAATATAGAGCCCAATAGGTTCTGGGCAGAAGAGCTGATTTTATCCTTTACTAGTGTTTAGTATTATGCTGTTTAACATTATGTATGGATTCAAAAACAGAACAAAATACAAGAGGTAATATCTAGATTACCAAACAGGGCTTCCAATTTTATAATGTTATTGAAAAAAGTGCCACACAATAGGGGCTGATATAAAGATAAATGCTCCAATAGAAGAGTAAATATGTAGCTCAGGGTTGAACTGTGGAGTTGTTGGTGCTCTCTGAGCTTGGTTATTTGCTTGCAGACATTTCGTTACCCAACTAGGTAACATTATCAGTGCTAGTGAGTGTGGGCTTTGCTCTCTGTTTATATACAGTAGCTTGCTCTGCCAGCATTGATGGGAGAATGGTTTTCTCCTCAGTAATTCCTTGATTAGGGTATTGTCTTCTGCTTGATTGTTTGTCTGGTATTAATCCCTGCTTATCTGTGTGTTGATTGCTGGAGAGGATGATATTACCTCTGCCAGTGTTTTACCATCCTCTCCAGCAACACATCCTCTTCAACACCAACATCCAGATAAGCAGGGATTAACAAGCAGGGAACTACCAAGGAGAAAGCCACATTCCCACCAAGATTGGCAGGGCAAGCTACTGTATATAAACAGGGAGCAAACCCCACACTCACTAGCACTGATTATGTTACCTAGTCAGGTAATGAAACATCTGCAAGCAAAGAACCAAGCTCAGTGAGCACCAAGGACTCCAAAGATAAATGTGAAAAATTAGGAAATATTCTGTTTTTTCTGCAAACTAGTGTTTCCAGATATTTTGGATTATTTGGATTATTATCTGGATTATTTGGATGGTGTTCCTCAGCCTCAACCAGCTTGACTGTTCAGGAATGTTGTGAGTTATAGATACTGTATATTTAGGGTATACTAAAATGGAAAGACTTCTGTAGAACTGATGTTACTATAATAGGTTAATATAGTGACAATTCCAAATTTTAATCCATAATTCTGTTTGGTGGGTTATCAGGGATACGGTTTTGTTAAAGAAGAAGAACTAGTACAATCTTCACCATCACCTGAACAGAGAATATTTATCTCCTTTGTTTTTCTGTTCAGGTTAGGAGACAAAGTTAAATTCTGTTTGTCTTGATATAAGAACTGAATGTGTGTGTGTGTCCTGACTTCACCCACTAAATATGGTCCCTGAAAAAAATCCGTAATCTCCTATTCAAAAAATATTGCCCACTCTGCCATAAGAACAAATAGAGAGTACTAAGCTCTCTAATTCACCTAGTGAATATGAGCTATAATCATCTATCACAGCCACTGAATATGATATTCAGTATAAAACTGAGAATGTCAAAGTCGTGTATTTTTAAAAGAAAATCATTATTTGATACTTAGTTTTTCAAATCAGTGTTATCAGAGAGCATTGACGTACAATTAATACTATCAGCAAGCTATCCTTATATACTATATATATACTACAGAGGTGGGGTTTTTTTTAATATGTTGTTGATAATTCTAATCCATTTGCTTAGTTTTAAGCAATTAAAACATTGTAACAGACTATTTCTGTGTTTTCAATAGTTGAGGAAGTGATTGTGAATATGGAGCTTATTGGTGACAAAGAACCACCCGATGGAATAGGAGAGTTGTCTGTCTGTCTAGATGGTATGCAGGTGGATCCTGAGCTTCTGACTAATGGTGATGCCTCAAGTATAAGAAGTGAGTAATATTTTCCTATAGAGTGTCTATATTTTGTGACTGCATTATAGAAGTGGTGAGCTCCTCTTGTCACTGAGACGTATTGAAACTACACGTAGTCCTCGCTTAACAACCATTCCTTTAACAATTGTTCAAAGTTACGATGGCACTAAAAACTACTTAGGACCGGTCCTCACACTTACAACTGTCGCAGCAACCCTGCAGTCATGTGATTGTGATCCAAACTGCTTGGCAACCAGCTCGCATTTATGACGGTTACAGTGTCCCGGGGTCACATGATTGCCATTTGTGACCTTCCCAGCCGGCTTCCAGCAAGCAAAATCTGGGGAACTGTGTGATTCACTTAACGACCACAGTGATTCACTTAACATCCACTGCAAAAAATGTTGTAGAATCAGGTTCAGTCACAAAACATCATGCTTAACGACTGCCCTGCTTAACTATGAATCTTCCAGTCCCTATTGTGGTCGTTAAGTGAGGACTACCTGTAACCCCAATTCTGTAAGGAGAATGTTTTAAAACTCAGCCCTTGTATTTCCCCTAATTTGTGTTTCTTAGCCGAAAGCAGGCATATAAATAGCCAGTGGTAACAAACCTACCGTGTATTTCTTTTGAGTGAATAACTGCAGTATGTCGGTCTAGTGGTTAAGGCACCAAACTAGAAAGCAAGAGACTGTGAGTTCTAGTCCTGCCTTAGGCACGAAAGCCGGCTGGGTGACTTTGGGCCAGTCACTCTCTCTCAGCCCAACTCATCTCACAGGGTTGTTGTTGGGGGGAAAATAGGAGGAAGGAGTATTAGGTACCATATGTTCACTGCCTTGAATTATTTATAAAAATAATAAAGGCAGGTTTAAAAAAAATAGACGTTTTAATCTTCTGTATTAGGAAAAGTGCAGTATTTCAGTGTGTGGACTATACTTATTTTTAAGTGGCATGCTAAGGGCCTTATGCTAAGAATGGGTGGAGTTAGGCCAGTCCAGTGCTGTGGACAAAACAAATACTAAATTTAAAATTAAATAGTTAATATTATTACACTATATTCAATAATTATCACATTCTTTTATTTATTTACTTATTTGTCAAATTTATACGCCGCCCATCTCACTATTTAAGTGACTCTAGGCAAATATAAAAACGATAAAAACAATAAAAAAATCTTTACTACACACACACACACACACACACACACACACACACACAGAGTTAAAAGACAGGGAGAGCGTCCTGAAACCACCAACCATTTCCAGTGCTGTGAGCCCCCATTAGATCCCCATGCTAGGTCTCAGAGCCAGGTCTTAATGCTCTTCCGGAAAGCCAGGAGAATGGGGGCCAACCTCACCTCAGGGAGCAGGCTGTTCCACAGGGCAGGGGCAATAGCTGAAAAGGCTGTCCTCCTAGACCCCGCCAATCAGAATTTTTTAGCCAACAGGGTCCATAACATGCCCTTCCTGCTGGACCGGGTGGGACAGGCAGATGTAACTGGGACGAGATAGTTCTTCAGGTAACCTGGTCCCATGTCATGCAGGGCTTTAAAGGTCATAACCAACACGTTGAATTGGACCTGGAAGCAAACAGAGGTGCTACTTGGGCAGTCCTAGAGGTGTCCATAATTCCTTGTGCTGCCACATTCTGCACCAGTTGCAGCTTCCAGATACTTTTCAAGGGTAGCTCCATGTAGAGCATGTTGTAATAGTCCAGACAGGTGATGACCAGGGAATGAGTGACTGAGAGAATGACTTCCCAATCCAGGAAAGGGTGCAATTGGTACACAACATGAGTTGAGCAAAGGTCCTCCTAGCCATGACTGCCACCTGCTCCTCGAGCAGGAGTCGTGAGTCCAGGAGGACCCCCAAATTGCACAACAGTTGCGTCTGGGGCAGTGGAACCCCATCCAGGACCAAAGATGGTAAGGCCCCAGATATGGAAGAGCCCCAAACCCACAACCATTCCATCTTACCAGGGTTCAGTTGAAATCTGTTGTTCCCCATCCAGACCCCACAGCCTCCAGGCACCACGAAAGAACATCCGCAGCATCACTTAATTCACCTGGGACAGACATGAATAATTGAGCATCATCAGCATACTGATGATACCTCATCCTGTGGTGACAGATGATCTCACCCAGCAGCTTCATGTAGGTGTTAAAAAGGAGCTGAGAGAGTACTGAGCCCTATGGCACCCCACACAATAGGGGCTGCGGGCTGGATCTCTTGCTCCCTATCAGCACCGACTGGGACTGGCTTTGGAGGAAGGTGAACCAACACAAAACTGTGTCTCCCACCCCCAACTCCTGCAGCTGACCCAAAAGGATACCATGGTCAATGGTATCAAAAGCTGCCGAGAAACCAATGCTGTTTCTGTCCCATATCTGGGCCTCAAACCCGACTGGAAGGGGTCCAGATAATCCGTTTCATCCAGGATCCTCTGGAGCTGCATCACCACCACCTTCTCTACCACCTTCCCAAAATTCTTTCATACCAGAAGGTTGTAATTCAACAATAATTTTTGGTGGAGCTCAAGCCAAAGGCTTTGAGGAGCTAAATGAAATTTTAGGCTCTCAAGTTGTGTGTCCATGTTCTAGAATGTTAGGTCACTTACTTGAATAACATAGCCTAAGAATAATGATTCATTCTCTCCAATGTTTAATTACTATAGACACAACAGAGGAAATACCTTCAAAAGACTATTTCAGTTTCTTCTCTCATGGTTTCAATATGAATAGAGCCCCTGATCTTTGTTCAGCCTGCTCTGAAGTATTTCCTGTGAGAAAAGTCCGTTGAAACTGTTGATACTCTGGTCTTATGCTCTCAATTTCTTGCCAGAAGAAAGCTATTTTAAATGCTCATATATCTTTTATTGCAACTGACATTGTGATTTAAAGTCTTAGCCACCAGGAAATCTTAGGCCTGCTGAGAGCTACTTGGAATACTAGGAGTGTCAGGGTGGGGGATCTAAGAGTCAAGCTGGAGCCCTGCTGGCAGATTGTGCAAGCAGCAGAGATCTGGTATTCAGCGGGCATGCCTTGTTGGCCTCTGGTGATGTTAATGCCAAAATTATTTTAATCACTCCACAGCCCAGAGGAGCAGGCTTGGGAGTTGTACAGTGGAACCTTGTACAGTGGAACCGCGGGTTACGAACGCTTCTGTTAACGAACTTTTCGGGTTACGACCAGCTCCGGCCGCAAAATTTTGCTTTGGTTTGCAAACTCCGCCTCGGGCTACAAACAGGATACGCGGCCATTTTCCCTCCCATGACACGTGGTCCGCGGCTGTTTTTCCGCCCGTTCCACGTGGTCCACAGCCGTTTTTCCGCCCCTGACGTGTGGTACGCGGCCATTATTTCTGCCCTGCCGCATGGTCAGCGGCCGCTTTTCCGCCCCTGACGCGTGGTCCGCGGCCATTATTTCTGCCCTGCCGCATGGTCAGCGGCCGCTTTTCCGCCCCTGACGCGTGGTCCGC